AATAAGATTCATATTCTTCATTTATCATTCAAACATGAAGTCATAATTCTTCACAAATAGTAAAAAAAATATTCACGACCTTTACCTAACTGAACATTTTAGCTTTCAGCTACAAACTTGAGCTTTAGATCCCAATAAATACTTTTTATCTATGGGCCCAAACCTCACCAGTGCACAGAGCCCTGCCTTTTGCACCCATGAGTGACCTCAACAAACAGCAGCTATTAGGAGCAAGGACTATAACTGACCCTATCTCAACATAACACCAAGCTGGACATCTAAGCAAATCTCATGAATAAGGAGAATGGGAGCGCTGATAGCTGCCACCACTGTTTTAACAGACCATGCCAGAACAAACATTGGTTTGGTTTGCATCCACGGGATGAATAAAAATTATGTTGCCGAGCATGCTGAAAATGAAAGACATAAAATGCCAAGAATGATGATTGTGTTAATGATCACTAAACAAAAAAAAAAAAAAAATGTTTTCAGAAGTTTATTTGCTGCGTGCTACAAACTCCACCTAGAAGAATTTGCTCCTCACAAGATTTTAGCTCTGAAAATAAAAGGTCAAACAAGGGGAGACAGAATAAAGTCAAAGGAGAAAGCCACAAATTCAGAAGAGAAAGGGTTAACACACGTTTTGTTTCAGTCGGTATTATACCAATGCCAGAAATACAGGGAAAGACTAAAAAGAGCCAATTTTTTTTTATTATTATTATTCTTTAAAAGAAAAAAAAAAATCAGGCCTATATGTCACAGGGTTGGCCAGGCTGGAAGAACCGGCAGGAACCTCAAATTCCTGACCAAACCCTCTTCCACACAATGCCTCCTGAATGGAAGGAACCCAGGCCCGGCAGAGATAGCCCACTGTCAGGAACCAGCCCTGACGTTTGCGGACAGACGGGGCTGGCCTCGCAGGATGTCAGAGCAGCAAACTGCTGTTCGAGATACTGGCTTTTCACACACTCCCAGCCTGGATGTTTTGCTCTTCAGGTAATTAAACAAGGAAACGGGGCTGATGTGTACGAGTCTGACCCCTGCGCTGTGGCTCCGCAGTTCTGCTATCGACTTCCGCACGAACCGCCTGGAGCATCAACAGAAGCTTCTACTCCTGCTTCCAACACCAAGCTCTAAAACAAATCCTTCTGGAAGTATCTGCTGCTGCCTTTCCCTCCCTTTTTTTTTTTTTTTTTAAAGAAGGGCCAAATTACTTGCTCTGTTCCATACACCTTGCTGCTTTCTCATGAGAAAAAGAAGCAAAAAAGGAAAGAAATGGGTACTTACAGAACTAGCTGTTCTTCAGCCAGCCATTCAAAATATTAACTAACTGGGGGAGGGGTGGCACAGACAGAAAGACAAGGCAAGGGATTCCCAAATTAATGCTTACTTTAATGTCATTACTCAAAATGAAAAAGCTCCTCTGATTCATCCAACCAACTGCCAGACATTCACTTATTTAGAAATAAAATTATTCTGATTTAAGCATTTTTGAAGAGTCTTTGTCTTAGAAGAGGACATAAATCATTGAACCAGGCATCAGACAAGTAAACCAATGTTTTCTCTCTTTTTCCCCAAATTTAAGAAACAGGAAAAGGCAGGTGTTACTACCTATACTCAGTGAAAACCCCTACACAGGCTGCTCTGTGACTGACCTAGTTTCTATGCTCTTTAAAGGCTATTTAAACAAAAATTATTTTTTAAAAAGATAACACATTCCTCCTTCTTTCCGAAAAATCCACAGAATAGAATATTGGCTGAAAAGAGAAGAGCCCAGAAGAAAGAGAAGTACAAAAGCATGCCTGCTTGTCTGTGTTCAACACAAAGAACATTAAATGAAAACAACTGGCACACAGCCAAATTCCTATACAGGCAAAGAGATTCAAATAAATTGATTTCACGCATCACACTGACCTGGGATCAGTGAGCAATGGTACAATACACTCGCTGCTCCATGTGGGGCAAAGCCCATTAACGTTATCAGAGCCAAAGTACATTAGCAAGAGGGGTAGGGGAAAAACAGAGAACCCAAACTCTGCAAACTCAGGGGGAAAAATCACTTTGAAAAAGGAACTTCAGCTCCAGCTGGAGTGCTTGGTTTCAGTTTACCAATAAATACATTGTATTGTGAGTGTTCGTCCTCTGCTCACCCCAAAGGATTCAAAGATCGTATTTTCAAAATAAAACAAATACTAATGTCACACACATTCCCCTTCCATCCCTACTTTTAACACAGCTGTTTCAAACTCGGTTATTCTCTGTGAATTTCCTCCCTTCCCCATCCACCAGCGTTTTATATAGATTATGGGTTATTTTCTTTGTAGTTCAAAAGCTGTATTCCTGCCCAGGATACTCTTACTAGCTCAGAAAGTAAAGATGGAGAAATCAGCCACTGCGCTCAACTGGTCCAAATCAACCTGACCTACAAAATAAACCGCTGTATTTGCAAAGCAGCAGTGAGCAGCAGGGCTCCAGCTCCCTTTGCAGAGTCATCCAGGCACGCTTCCTCATCACGAGGCAGACTCTCCAAACCAGTGTATTTTGAATTTCACTTTCTTACACTGTGTGAAGTAACCCGTGTGTGCCATGGAGTCTCCTCTTGTCATCCCGGCTTGGTTTTTCATTAGGATCTCTCACACTCCAATCAAGAGCAACGCTAGCAAGCCACAGGTGTGCACCACATGAACAGATGAAAATCTGATTGTGAGCTGTGTAATGACAATTCACTGTCTATAATACACTTGTCCCATTTTGCATCTGTTGTATGTTAGAAGGGGGTTTATTATTTCCATTGTACATACATAAGATACATACATAAGCAAACAACTGGTTTTAAGATAAAAAAGCTAGACAAAAGACTTTGCAAGAGCAAAACAATGATGACAATGCCTGAAAAGGATCACATCAGCAAAGGTAGTCTAATGTTACAAGAGGCTGTCTCTTCAAGGAGGTGATACTCAAACAGCTTTAATTTTGCCATTTTGGTCTCAAATAGCAAGTCAAATCTTGCTGGGCACAGCAAAGTCCTTTTCAAGTTAAGCTCTAAGAATGTTGGCCTCATCTCTCATCACTCATCCAAATTTAGGTATGGAGCTTCTTGGCTGTTTAAGACTAAAATTTTTGAATGTGTAACAAACACATACATCTAGATAAAGGTACCTTACCTAGTCACCTCATTTCAAATAAATGTCAAAATGGGAATGCCCAAAGATCTAACACTTGCTAAACACCACTGATCACTCTCTTTTATAAAGGACTACAAAGCAATTTTGGATTTATCTTCATCACCATATACAGTATCATCGATTTTGTAAGTTGTGCTATAGAAAGGATGTGTCTATTTTGGTATAAGGCTACACAGACAGAACTGTACAGGAAAGGGAGCCAGCAGCTTCACAATAGCTGAGATGCGCCTGCACCCAGGTGATAGAGGCAGCCTGACCTGCCCAACGGTTAGCAAGACAGATAATGTGCTCTTCCCTTCCATTATGAATATTTCAGTAGTACAACCAGATCACTTGGACTTTATAAGAATGAAGTGAATTTCAGTCATATTAATTCCTTCTTCTATAAAAAATGGATAGTATTAGAAAACATGTCTATGTTGTAGGAAATTTCCATTATCTTGCACGTGCTCTGACAGCAATAAACCTCAATAAGCTTCCCATTAGTATGCCAGCACTGCATGCTTCAGACATGCAATCTTTACTTTTACATTTATTTTCAAAATCCTTTATGAAGATCCATACGGTAAAAGAAACCAAACAACAACCACCTGTACAGAGTACACTTACACTTTGAAAAACAGACAGTAGATAGAAAAAAGGAAAACTAGTCAGAAGCTAAACCACTGCTAAATTAGCAAAATAAAAATGCAAGAAGAAACCCTGCTAAGATTATTCATTCTTTTTCAATGCTGACTGTGTAGAGGAAGGTCCCAGAAAAGCATTTACTTGTTTAAAACTGAGCTAGGAACTCGAATTAGAATGCAAATTCATTTTAAGTAAGATTTCATTTTTTGAAAGGATGTTCACACTGGTGCAAAGAACCTCAGCCCCAGCCCCTTGCCATGAGTGATGTGCAGCACCCCACTGGCTCTCCCAGCTGTGCTCCATCACCCCACAGACAGAGCAGCATGAGCCACCATATCTCAGGTAAGGAGATTAGTGATATGATCAAGGCTTAGCTGCCTTCACAACTAACTGGAACAGAGTCTAGAGTGTTCAGACACTATTCATTTTATTTTGGTATCATACTGTGTCAAAGTTATGTCCTAAGCGAAATGGTCCAACACTAAGAACAAAAATACCAGAGTGCAGGAAAGCACTTAAAATCAGTTTAGTTCTTGCCATCTAGACACACCATTTTAGGAGAAGTAATGTAGTTACAAGTCAGGAAAGAGAGTCATAGGTTACCTAGAAATTTTGTTCTGCCATAGCAGATTTATTTTTCTAATATGGTAAAAATCTTTGCACACAAGGAGCAAAAATATTTATTCTCAGTATCATCTCAATCCCATTTATCAGATTCCCAATGCAAAGAGTTTACCAGAGGCTTCCACTAAATTACAAACACAACCATTTTGCCAATGTGATTACAACTGTCCCTTAACCTGGTTAAAAATACTGTTCTAATTCACAGTTCAGGAAGCTGAACTTCATTATTTTCACAGCTCAGCCAAGTAATATTTACATGACACATGAAAAGCACATATCTCACCAGAAGTAAAAAGCACAGTTAAAACTTCCATATACATGTATTTTAAGGTAAGGAAGATTTCAGAAAAGTCATCACTGACAGATTTTATTGGCATTACTGTACTTAAGAACTGAAGTGACATTAAAATGAAGACACCACTTTCATTGATTTAGACAGACTCTTTGAAGGCTAAAGGGAAAGATTTCTTTTTTAGTTACAGTTTACAAGGCAAGGTACAGTCATTTAAAATAGCTTCTAAAAGGTATGCACATTACAAAATCAAATATTTTTCTTTTCCTTACCTTGACAAAATTCAAAGTTCCCTTTTTTCCGGCAGTCACCTATCACTAAACTCAGTGCTCTCCAAGTGTTTCTTTTGACAGATATCATTCTCCACCAATCGCTCTGCTAATTTCCTCTTTCCTTTTCTGACTGGGACAGGTACTATGTTCACCAGCCCAGAGATCAATCTTTTCTATTGACAACAACAAATGAAAAAAAGAAAAAAAAAAAAAAGAAAAAAAAAAAAGAAAAAAAAAGGAAAAAAAAAAAAAGCAGATATCACAGGCAGTTTGAAGCACCACCACCACACCCCTTCATTTGCATGATAATAGCAGTCTTAAATAAAAAAGGTAAGACAGAAATGCTATCATTCCAAATCAATTACCCACATTTTCTTGGTTAATATAAGGCAGTACTTTAAAACTGTATCAATTCTTTGACAAAGGCCGTTTCATAAGTTGCTCATTTAAAACATTTGACATACAGACAGCAATGAACTAAGGGCATCTTATATTCCACCACGAAAATACCTATTAGCTAATTCTGTAAAAATGCTTGGGTTTAAATACATTCATATAATATAAAATAATACATACTTTACCTGGTTCAACAGAAGCTCTAGAGAATGATTTATTAAGCCAACATGGTTACTAAAAATAGAGACCTTGCAGTTACGTATTGCTATACTAATTTAGACTTGTAAATCCTAACAGCAAGCACATTTAAACAAAGGAAGATCAAAAAGCTATTGATATATTTACACATCACCCTCCCACTTTTGAAAAGGCAATTTCCCTCCCACTCCAACACCTACAAAAACTGTTTATTTGGGTTACACAAATACTTTGTCATTTGTATGAGTCTGTATTACAGCACTGCCAGTTTTTCCAAGACATTAATATGCTTTTCATGGGCTTGTAATTATGTCAAGGCAGAAAGATTTTCAGAGCCAGGCAAACACAGTTATGTACATGCTTCAATCTGCATCCACTGTTCAGGTATTTTGAGACATAAAGTTAAGCATGCAAAAGGATCTGGACACAGCTGCATGCATCTAACCAAGAACCCTGCCCCAACCCTCTCCCGGACTAGATCTTACTGCAAAAAAATGTCTTGCCCAAGGGCATTTGCAACAGCTCACTTCTGTGTTTGTGCTAGAAATTGCTATCTTTTCCAAAACAAGCACCCTCCTCAAATCAAAACAAACCCTCACCAAGTTAAAGTTAAGTTACAGAACAAAGGAGTTCATCACTCAAAATCCTTTCTCTTCCCTGTTTGTGGTAGGACATTTCCACGCAGCCCTGAATCCTATCAATTTCAGTGAAAACAAGAGGCCTGTAAGGACTGCAGGACTCTTATGCAGGATTTGGCAACCGTGAAGCTTTCAATATGAGACAACTGCCTTTGGCATTTGGAAAATAATCTCCAAAATGTGGTCTGGACTCTCAACATGGGTGCAATAACTACTTTTCTAAAATTAGTTTTATTTGAGATTAAATTCTCTAGTTGTAACCATGTTCTTCATAGGCAATAAATTTACTTTTCAATTGTGCCTTATCATTAATTGTGTAGTTTTCAATTGTCCAGGCTTTTGCGTAATACATTTCCATAAATGCATACAATATTCCCTGAATTGTTATTATTGTTTGACCTGATTTTTATGGTCATAAACTTATGTGCCTACCAAAACTCAAAACTCCTTCACTGACCGAGTGGCCCTATTAATTTCACTGAGATCATTGAAACATCAAGTTTTCTACCGAGTGACGATAGCACAATCTGGTTGAAATACGGACTTATAGTGGAACATTAAATTAACATCATATTTTGGATTCAGAATTATACACAGCAACCATCTGTAAAGATGCATTCATGTTTTGCTAACCTTTACTAATTTGGCCACTAGAAATAATTATGATCAAATATGTTAAATTATGTAACATATAGCAATTCAATGTTTGAGTCTGCTGAATAGCATACTCCTTTTTCATGGCTGGGAAAAGATTTTTAAACCTCTTACTGTAAAAAAAAAAAAAAAAAAGAAAATTCTTACACCACCACCAAAAAAATAACACTATCCATCTGTCGTTCACTGTACAATGAAGACATCACTTTAACTTACTACTCTTCTTTGTTTCAGCCCCACATTAATTTTCTCTATATGCCACATTTTCCAAAGTGATGGATGCATTCTGCTATACCCATTCTATACTAACCTCCTTTTTAAAATTTATTGTTGCTTCCTGAATTGTAAACTGCTGCTGTTGTTCGAATGTACATGCAAAACTGTCTAAAGTCTGAACTTCACTGAGAGTAGAATGCCTCAAACAATTTGTCATCTTACAAGAGTGTTATAAAAAAGGGATCAACATGTTGTATTACCATGGAAATTTTGAAAAACATACTTTCCCAAACAAATATTACTTTTTCTCAATGGTATGAAGTAATGAAAACCACATGTGTAAATCTGCGATCCGTGCAGTAGTTCAAGCTGCAGCTAATAGAAAATACAGAGAGTGAACTCTGCCATATAAAGGATTCTTGTTACAGAAATATAATGTGAAAACCAGATGCAGACAGAAAACCTTAATCACAGATGGGAATGTAATCACTGGCATACAGAATACTTTTTTGATCAATCTCAACCATATGAGAAATGTATTTATTTTCTAAGGAATGCAATAACTCGAGAGAGTCTTCTATTTGAATTCAGTTAACCTCATATTCACAGGGCTTTTATCTTGCATGTGGAGAGAAAGGGGATATAACCTGAGCCAAGATTTTTAGAAGAACCATTGGCCCTGGCAAATCATTCTTGTATCAGCTTATCTTTCAAGGAATTAATAGGATGTAAAGACTACAAATATCAGGATCAGCCTTGTATGAAATCAACCATTACTGCACGTCCTAGTTACTGCCAGAAATCCCTTCACCACCTAAGCACTTCTATGGTTAAATTTTTCCTTTACTATGTGGTTCTTCAGAAATACAATGCTACAAGCAGCACACTGTTACACTGAAGTTCTGTAAATTGGAAAATAAAAGCTGAAACCTAAGTTTATTCTGGGCTTCCTTCTAATTGATGGAAGTCCCAATGAATTTCCTGCACCCACTCATCTCCTGGGTGTCAGCGGCAAACAAAGGACTGCAGCCACCCAGTAGTTACACTAAAATGGCTAAGGTGCAGATTGCCTTCCACCAACTACTCAGACCAGGTAGGACCGACGTAATTCTTGCCAGTTTTTATTGCTGCTGACATTTCTGCTCAACTTTTAAAAGAGATGAAATACTACAGTACTAGTAAACTCACATAAAATATGGAAGTTGCCATTAAAATCTGACAAGCAAGTTCAGGATTCAGGTCACTGATATGCTACCAGTAGGACCCACCTACACTGTTACAAAGGTTCAGCATCTCCAAGCAACGACACTCCTACAGTTCATCAGTCAATCCATTTGCCTAGATAAATTTTACACCCGATGATTGAATTGGACTGTTACATTACACTACAATATAAAAACCTGATGCTAGGAAATAAAAATTAAAAATTTAAAGATGACTGACCTCCAGGCTTGTGGGTACCAGCAGTGGTAGTTTACAGTCCCTGATCCCTCCTTCACCCTTCTCCTGAAGGTACCCAGTCTACCTAAGAACACCACGGCAATTTGTATAGCACTGCCTGACTGTCACAGTTCACAACTGAGCTTATTAAGGTAACCCAAAGTTGGTGTTCGTTTATTTTAACAGTACTAAATAACATAAACCACAATGATTCGGTAGCTGTTACTCTAAAGGTGAGAGGGGTTGACAAAATCCTTTGATGGGCACAGGTAGGCAGATTCTCCCTTTCTCTTAGAGCCTTTAGGTCCCATTACCATCATCCCATTGTAGGTGTCTGCATTAAGAAGACAGTGTCTTCAGTACCCTACTGCAGGACTCCCAGCAATGGCTCATCACAGTTAATTCTGCTGAAGTTCCTATAAATGTGGTTCCTTAATTGAATGCCTGTATGCTAGGTGACATTTTAAATTAAGTACTTGCTTCTTCTCTCCTGTGTTAACAACTAGCAAACCATTTAATGAAAATACTTGATTCTATTTTGAAAATATATTTTGAAAATATTTTGATTCTATATTGAAAATATTTGATTCTACCACTGTAACAGTAGTTCTTTAAACCATTTTGTCTCTCCTGCCATTTAAGTTTACATTTCTGAGACTGTGGCATCAAGTGATAGTGCAGAAGTCAACATTTAGCACTAAAGAAATAAGGGCTGGATATGCTTGTCTTACTTCTAAACAAGCATGTCTAGATTAATAATAAACTTTGGCCAGATACATATTTTAATTTCCCTATTTTTCATATAGCATCATCATCATGTGTGTAGAGTGCTAAAAATGGAGTGAAATCTTCCAGCTGTAAAACAGTTCCACGTGACAAAACAGAGAAGGATCCTGAAAACTCCTGCTTCATGTCATGTGTGACCGTGTGTGCCTGTGTCTTTTTTTTTTTCCCTCACATCTAATCTCATCTGCAAGAGACTGTCCCTAGAGGACAAGAGAAGAAAGAACCAATTATATCCAGAGGTTGGTTTCTCCAAAATGAAGGCATCTGTTCCATGCCAACGACTTCAACATGGAAGAAAAACAGAACTTTGAAGGCATCTGCGTCCATGGTTGACAGTTGCAGATCTTAGGGTCTACTGTAATTGCCCAGCTGCAAACATGATTTGGTTGCTGCTGTTGTCAGCTGATCTCCTTACAATGAAAAGAGGGAGCTTAAATAGCTGGATAAAAATCAGATATTCTTCCACAATACTGACACCTCTTCCTTTCTGAAGGAGGCATTTTCCTGGTACAACGGGTTTGATGGAAGTAAATTGCAAAGTGGTTTTTAACCAAACATTTTACAAAATATGCTGCTTTAAAATTCTATTCTTTAAATAACATACAAGTCCATGCACAATGTGCTCATTATTTGTTAGTATTTCAGGCTGATATTTTGTAAGAGTGATTCAGAAGCCAGCATGATTCACCAGCCACATAATCCTGCAGCCTACTTTATTCAGGAAAGTAGTCTCAGTAAAACCAAGAGTACACCTGAGGAGAAGCTCAAGAGTTTTCCCTCAAAACACATAGGGCAGATAAATACCAAGCATGATATTTATCACTTAACTCATGTCACTTCCAGTG